CAAATGCATGTATTGCAGCTATAACAGACTTGCAGCCCTTGGGGGAAAGTCTGTGGATCAGTAGTACAGCATCTGCTTTGCATAGAGAAGGTACCAAGTTCAATACCCAGGATCTCCAGTTAAAAAAGGATCAGGTAGTGAAATACCATGAGACCCCAGAGAGCTTCTGTCAATCAGAATAGACAATACTGACCTTGTTAGACCAATGATCTGACTTCGCATAAGGCGGCTTCATATCTCCATGTGTATGTTCATTCACCTGAACATGTTTAAATAATAGTTACATGTATAATGTAACAAATGTCTTCAATTCTGTATCAGTAAAATATAATATGGGGATCTTTGCTGATTTGGGTGACAAGGTGCAGTGAAAGTGTCCAGATTGTGCCATTATTTCAGTATTTTTTGCCAGTCAATAGTGCCAGTGAAGTTTGCTGCAAATGGGAATCTTGTGCGATTGGAGTTATTTTCCTGTCTTGGAGGCTTATTTGTGACCTTAAATGAATCATTTAGCTTTCCCCTGGTTTTTATGTTCCCCGTTGGAAAATGAAAATCATATTTTTCCCTATCCTGCCTGCAAGAATTAATGCCTTTTAAGAAAGCTGCTTCATAGCACAAGATTAAAGATACTGTTAAATGCATGGTTATAATAGATTTCTAAAGGATTGAACATGAAATGTGAAAAAGCCATTTTGTTACTAGCTGTTGAATATTTCAGGTACATTCAAGCAAACTATACCTGCTGTGCAACTGAATGTACCAAGTTCATCCATCTAGAATGTGTTTACTGGGCTGATTAAACATCAGGATGAGTGGGCTGGCCTGCAGTATTCTGCTAGTTTTCCTGGATTGGTAACAAAAGAGAGGAACATTGAAAAGGAGATAGTTGAGAATCAGGATTCAGTAGCTTAATAAATTATTTGCACTGTGTGCCTATTAAATAATAAGACGAAATCAGGGGCCCTGTTTCATGAAATCCCGTCTTAACAATGTTTTGGGGCCCACACCTCAGGAGAAGTGAATGTTTTTGCCATGGGAAGTGGCAGCTGCTACCTTAAAGAAAGAAACCCACACTTCTCAGTAAAGCACTTGCCAAGACAGGAGGGGGGAGAGCTCTTTGCATTTTTAGTGCAAAAAGCAATGTTTTTGTGATCACTGGTTTGCCTTTTGACATGACATTTGTCCCTCCTCCCAAATGGTAACTTCTGTGCTGAATATCAAACCCCATTTTCGTCTTGCAGTCCATTATGCTTGAAGGGTGCCACTGATGACACAGAGTTCAAGAAACAGTAGCCCCCTTGTTTCCTTTAATGTGAAGAACAGCATGGCAAAGTAAAAACATTTTCCTCAGCACTGAGTAGAACGAGGCAGACCCTGCTCACAAGGAGCTACACGTATGGATCAAAACCATGGAGAGCTTTGGATTGCATTAGATGTTTTGTTTAATTCATGTGCAAAGCCTGAGATCGTGACAAATGTTGTATTATTGTATTAACAGTGTCCTTACTTCTGCTGACAACTGTAAAATCCTACTGTGTCCTGAGACACTAGTTTGATCTTTCTTGATTCGAGAAGAACAGCCATTAATTTGCAGGAGACGGCTAACAGCATTTTCTATGACTTAAAGAGATGGAAATGGAACAAAAGAGGTGGCTCTGAAAAACCACTTTAAGCCCTTCCTTTCATTGTCCCTTTCTGAGAGCTTCTTTGGGAAATGGCTTTCCCCCCCAACCCCCCCCCCCCCGCAAAGGTTTAACAAGAGAGGGGAGGAGGTGTAGAAATTACTATTAGGAAAATGAACAGACTGAGTACAAGAATGAATGCATTATGGATACTCATGCTTTTCTCTGCTATGTAGCAGCTAATGCAAGAAGCAACTGAAAAGTTCTGTTTCACACACTACAATGCTACGAGTTAATTGGCCTTCTGCTATTTGTTTTTCTAGCAACCTGAACTTGGCTGCAAGCAAGGACATAACAGTGCTATATTCCCTTCCCTTCTGAGTCTTCTCTTACTCTTTTTGCTCATATTAAGGGAGGGGGGAGTATCGGCCACAATCTCTCCATCTTTCTTTGTTGATTTACTTCTCTCCTTGCATATCTCTGTAATTTAAACTCCACTGCTAAACAGCCCTGGAAGGTGTATGGTTAAGATCAATGTCCCAATACACCCTGAAACATGTTTTCTCCCATCAGACAAGCACTTTAAGATAATTGAGAAGCCTTGTAGAGGGTCTTGGGGAGGTATCAGGGGAGAGGCACACTGAGTGCAAAGAATTGCCACTGCTCACGGTATCTGAGATATGGAAATGTTTGACTGTTTATCTTTTAAAGTGTTACAGGGGCCCAGTTCTTAAGTTGTCTCATTCTGCTATAAATCTGAAGTCAATACATGACAAGAGATCAATCTTTGCACACTAAGGGACATGATGTTTCCTGCGTTTACCAGTGCAATGTGTTTAGGCACATCTAGTTTGTATAGCAACTTTGAAGTTAAGAATTTGGTCTGATCTGTTTCACGGGGACGTTAAACTTTTAGATAAACAGAATAGCTTCTTCATAAGGGCTGAGAATGTATAATCAATATGTTTCTACCAGTTCTGATAAACATGCTAGGAGGAGTGAAAAAGGGCTGTCATTAAATGTTCCAGTATTGTAGGTACGGTTTCTGTCTGACAGGAGTGTGTAGCTTACATCCTTCTACTCTCTTCCATTGTATTGTCATGATAACCTTGCCAAGTAGGTTAGATTAGCCAGTAGGCCCATTGACCTTCGTGGCTATGGTTTCCCTGCCTAGGCTGAACCTCTTAACCACTTCACCTTATGTTATAACGGTATAGTGAACTATGAATCTTAGGCACCCACAACTTCACTTCCCGGCTTGACTGTGGCAAAAGGAATCCCAGCACCACTTGTCCTATTTTGGAACTCTCACTTGCGCAGCAGTTCGAAGAAGATTTAAAAAGCAGCAGTTGTCTTTTTCCCATGGTTTATTACTTTATTTAAACCTCAGCGGAATAAGGCAAGATCCTGCCAGTTTCCTGCAGCTTCTCCAAGAAGGCCTCCTACCTCTCCCGAGCCCACTGGCCATGTATACTGGCACTGTAGTATGGAAAAAAGAAGAGACAGCAGTAAGTTCTTGTGCTGTTTCAGTCTCTTCTTCACATCTCCACCTCTCCCTGAGCTCTCTGGTGCACAAACGGAGCTTGGGAGGCACTGGCAGGGTCTTCTCTCACTTGTGCTGAGGAGGTTTGGAGAAGATAGGAAACCGCAGGAGTCTGTCATGATGTATCTTATTTTCTCCATAGCCTAGCAGAAATGAGAGAAATCACTGCCTCTTCCCAGGGTTCTTTCTTTGTGCCCTGAAGTTTTTAAAAAATGCTTTCTTCCTTGATGAGAGTAGCACACTTTCAGGATTTTTTGTTTCTCTACAATTTACTATGTATCTTGTTAGTGTCATTCGGATCCTGTCTTCTAATGATATAATGGGTACAATAGCTACCACAGAATGGCAGCTGATGAGAGCATATGGTTTTGCTTTCAATTTGTGAGCAAATTAATTTCACTGTGAAAAATCCCAGATTGATAACACAGTTGCTTGAAGTCCATAAGTGTTGTTGTCTATCCATAGGATATAACAGTACAAACCTCATGAACTCATATCTCAGGGCATCTTTTTTGCATATCTACAAAAAAAGCCCAGCAGGAACTCATTAGCATCATAGGCCACACCCAACAGTAGAAACCCATTAGCATATTAGGCCACACCCCAGACAGCACAACTCATTGGCATATTAAGCCGCACCCCCATGTTACCAGAAGTGTGCTCATCCAGCCACACCCACCTTTTGCTTCTTATTCTGTTTACCCAGGGCTTTTTTGTAGGAGGAACTCCTTTGCATGTTAGGCCACACACCCCTAATGTAGCCAATCCTAATGAGTTTCTGCTGTTGGGTGTGGCCTATTATGCTAATGAGTTCCTGCTGGGTATGGCCAACTTGGAAGCCAGCCGGAACTCCGTTCCTGTGCGTTCCTGCCCAAAAATAGCCCTGTCTCAGGGAATATGTTGCTGAAGCATCTTCTGTTTTCCGATTAATATGTCCTGTGCAAATGAAGGGGCTAGTATGGAGCTGGCATCTGCCCAGTGAGTTCAACACTGACCATACCAGCTAGAATGTATTTGCTGAATCTTAACTGATGATGCAAAAGGAAAAGGCACAGACTTGTATTATTTATTTATTTTACTTTACTTATTTTTTTCAAATTTATACACCGCCCTTCCCACGAACGGGCTCAGGGTAGATCACAGTAATAGTTAGGCCATTTGGCAACACAAAGCATAATAATAAATAGTTAATTAAAACAACATTTAAAAACAATTTGCACCGATACTTGTGCTGCCGGACTCTGAGTTTGTTCAATCCAGGCCACGTGGAGGTGGTGTCTTCAGCAGGAGAGTCCGAGATGTCTCTACCGGACGCCCGCCATCTCAACCAAAGGCCTGGTGAACAGCTCTATTTTACAGGCCCCGAAGAATGATAAAAGGTCCCGCAGGGCCCTGATCTCACATGGGAGCTTGTTCTACTAGTCCAGGGCAGAAAAGCCAGGAGCATTTGTGTGCTTGTTTGCTTCTGCACATGCACAGCAGCACTTGGGGGGGGGACAACCAACCCAGCCACGGGTCTGTGTTTGCAGCATGTTAGCGATGTGAACGACCAAACTATGATGCTAGCTTAGGGGATGCTGTGTGATCGACACAAAGCATGCCAAACTCAAGCGGCTTATTTAGAGCCGATATACTGCCATGGCAAACTACTCATGTGACCACACCCATGGACACACACACACAAGAATATGTTGTAAATTGGGATTAATAATCAGTAAACTTCAGACTGACTTTATGAACCTGGCTGTGCCATTTTTATTATGATGCTGTGTTAAGGAGGTTCCTTAGTTTTCATGTTAATGATTCTTTTCTTTTTTTTGATTCCTGAAATACAGAAAAGTACTGATTGTCCACACATCGTGTCTACCTCTGCAGCACCAGTGTCAACTGGAACTTCCCAGGACATCACCATTACCTTGAAGAATGCTGCTTTTGTAAAGGTAATTAAACGGGCACTGCGGGAAAATGTGACTTAGCTAGCCAGTATATTCTACCAAAAGTCATAAAATGGACCCTGTCAGTAATCTCTGATTATAAACAAAATGAAGTCAGCTCATGACTTTTTTTTTAACCTCTATCATAACAGCAGAAATAGCTGTTGTAACAGAGGACCGTAATAGAAAGTAATCACTTTGGCAAGTGGCCAAGTCTGGGTGGGCATAACATGAAGAAGGAAATGTGCCTGCTATGCAAGCATCCTCTCGGGATCTGTTACATGTAATGCAAGAACTTTAATGGGACTGGTGCAGTTAGTAGATTTATAATATTGTAAAACTTCAATTTGAGTAGAACGCTTTGGGAGGTTGGAAATGTGCTTCACGTACTTGAAGATGCTTCTTCCGTATTCCACTCAGTGAACTTTGCAGGTGTGCAGTTCTCACATGTAGTACACCAAACCATTGTCTCTGCAATACCAAGAACCCTGTGCCTGTACAAAGCAAAAGCAATTTGTTAAAAGCAGGGGGCAAAATCTGTGAGCGATTAAATCAAGATCTGAGGTGGCATTTTTTAAAAAAGAAAATGTGTATTCTGTGCATATTTCTGACATGTATGTTAGATCAGGTAACTAATTTTAGAGTTACCTGAATGCATTCAAGATATACCCATAGACCATTCTCAAGTATCCTTAGACTGTAGGAAGGCAGGAATTAAGGACATGCTCCATTAGTATCTTACTCTGTTCTGATCTGCTTCTGAAGTATCTGAAAGAAGCTGTTATGAAAGATTATGAAAAATACCAGAGCATTTTACTGTGAGACCAGTGGTCCATTCTGTCCACTATCTTCTCACCTCCGTACATCTGGGACAATTAAGTTGTTTCAGAAATTGGTGATTATGTGAGCGATGCCGGTCTCAGCCAGCAGGCAGTCGACAGCATTCTCTACCAGTTCCACCTTCCAAGTTGTCTTCAAGGGCAGCCCAGCCAAACCGAAAGCTGCAGAGGCTTGAATCCACTTGGCCAGGTTCATTGCATCTAGAAGGGAGGACATGCTGTCAGCTAGCCATTGATGACACAAGGCAGCAACAGCTGTTTCTCTAGCAATAAGGTTGAGACCACGAGCACCTCCAGGCTCTTGGATTGGACAGAGTTACCTGAGTTCCTTCCAAAGCGGGCAAAGTCAGTTGCACCCAGAACATCAGCTTGGCTGATCACCATCATTTCTGTTTTGTCTGGATCCAATTTCAGCTTGTTTAAGATTTCATGTTGTTGTTTATTGTTATCATCATTGCTATTATTATTTACATTTTTATCCCAAGTAGGGTAAATGTAATAAGTACCCTGCTTAAAGCATTTTCCTGTCATGTTCCTTGGCTAGATAGACCACCATGCTTTATGAATGTAATCAGGAAATGCAAGTGGAATTAATAGAGAGGAAGAAATGTTTTGATAAAAGCTAGTATTTACAGAGAACTTCCGTGTGTCGTAGTGTGCCACACTTTTAAACAATCATTTGCAATTGCAGGCCTAATTTACATGTGGGCTTCCATGAAAAGCACTTCCCCAGTTTGTAGCTGTGCATGCATATAGCTCTCCTTTTCTGTTCACAACAAACAGTCTATAAAAAGCTTCTTGAAGGGCCTCTATTGACAGCTTTTGATGTAGTTGCAGTACCCAGCAGAGGAATTTAACAAGTCTTAGACAAAGGCTCAGATTACTTGCAACACCAGCAAAGAAAACTCATTGTGTTATAGCTTTATTACAGTTTCCTCCCAAAGGTCTGGCACTGGTAAATAAGGATGTGCCCCTACTCTGTCAGCAAAAAATGGCTTCCTCTGAGGTGCTAGAAGGTGACTACAGAGGAAGAAATACTGTGTTTAACTTGGTAAGGGGTGGAATAAACAGGAAAGCTACTAAGGTACCTCAGTTCCCAGATGGCAACTCCAGTCTGGATTCCTCTCTTAGCCCATCTATAAGTACTAGATAAGATTATCAATACGGCATTTCTCTGGGAAAAAATATAATGGCTGGGGAGTTCATGCATTCGCACAGTCAAAAATAATTGGTTGAAAATACATATGACTGCTTGGGAATCTGCCCTCACTTTAGTTAATAAGCATGACCACAGTTCACAAGTTACCCTTATCCTGCTTTTAAATGTCACTCCATCTTCTCCAGCAAGTGTGGGAGAAGATAGTCCCTTATTTTGCCTACTCTGTATGCTGGCCTATGCTAGCCTCTAACTAGACTCTGGTGCAATCCCATCATTACCTGCTTGGACTCTCCCACCCCACCATTTCTGTCAATTAATGAATGAATGGATTAATTCAGGAGTGTCAAAGTTATGGCCCGCGGGCCTGAAGCAGCCCGCCCATGGCTTTAATCAGGCCCGTGGCTCTTTTCTTCCCCCCCCTCCTGTCCTCACCCTTTGAAGCTTGAGGTTGCTGAAGTTCCCAGCTCCCTCCCTCTTCTCTTTGCCTGCTTTGGCAGGAATTTCTTCTGGGCTTGCAAAGTTGCTGGAGTTGTCTCCTTGCAAATACAGGGTTGATGTTTTGAGCCAGCTTGTCTCTGCTGAATGGACCTGAGAATGGGTGCCTAAGTGAGTACTCTAACCTGGGAGCCCACAGACAAAGGAGAGGCCACTCGCACAGGAGAGTCACTGCCAGTGTTCCCTCTAAGCTGAGTTAGTATGAGCTAGCTCACAGTTTTTTAGCCTCCAGCTCACAGTTTTTTGTCTTGGCTCAGGAAGGACAGCTCCAGAGCAAACTAATATATGCAGTGGCCAAATCGCTCTCTCACAACTTGGGGGGCTTGCAAAGCCTAGCTATTTTATGTTCCTAGGCTCAGAGCATTTTATATTTTTAGTTTCTGCTGTGATCCTTGTGCTTTTTCTTGATGTTTTATTTTTCAGAATTGCATTGCCAAACCCCAGTGTCCCCCCACCTTTCCATTTTAGGCAGGCAACTTTTTTGGGGGGGGGGAGGTTTGAGAGGTGTCAGTTATCAAAGACTGTTAAATAGACAAAATATTGCAAGAGTTTTAAGCATATTTGTATTTTAAGTAAAAAAATTATATTTTTAATTGTGTTTGTATCTTTTATAAAGTTTATATCTCTGCTACCTGGCATTACATTTTATGACATGCAGGGCCTGGCCCCACAAAGTCCTATTTATGTCAGACCTGACCCTTGTAACAAATGAGTTCAACACCCCTGGATTAATTATTGTATGGCAGTGGGTGTAGTATAGACAGGAGATCTGAAGATTGTCTGGCAGTCTAAAACTCTAGTTCATTTTGTGGCAACCTAGGTTTTTCAGCCGCTGGTGAATCAGTACGCTCCTGCCATAAATCTGATGTTCCTTTAACGTTTAAAATTACTTTATGAATTCATGGTTTTAGATGTTATTTGAAAATAGCATTCAATGAGTGGGGAGGGTATACACTTTCTTCGCACATGGTGTGAATTTCAGCATAACTGAGGACAGAATTTGTCTCCTAGGGTGATCACAGCAAAGGAAAATAGGTGTGATGCAGATATTTTGTTCAGCCCAAAGAAGAAAGGTGAACAAATGTAAAAAGAAAGCTGAACAAATGACTGTTTAGTTGTCTGGACCTTTGAGAGAAGTGGGGTATACATTGTGAAAACTCTAATTGTTAGTTATGCCATTTAGAATCAGCCACTGTTTTATTCACATTATGGTCTTCTTTCATTAAAGGTAAAACTGTTTAAACAGTTCGTAGTCCTGGAGAGTTTTTTGTGCCTTTAAAAATAATAACAACAGTGACTAACTCCAATGTAGTGTTCAAGATATGTAATGCCTAAAAAAACTCACCAAAGCTTCTTTCATCAAGTTTATTTGGATTATCAACTGCATTGTTCATGGTTATTGTTTTTGCTGTACATAGCAGTAAGTGAGACCCTTATACCATTCATTTCTTGTTCCTGATGGGGAGAAAAAAACATAAAAGGATATCACATCACAAATTCTTCCTTGTTTCTTATTGTCTAGGAAATGCCTTTGGAATGTCACTTTGGAGCTGACAGGATTTTTGAGGCCCAGTGGGTGAATGTATCTACTGTTCAGTGCAGCAATGTGCTGGTGAGTTCATTGCTAATGTATATATTTTTCATCTCTTCTGAAGTCTGTTTTGCATGTGCTAGTGACAAGAATCACATGCCAGTCAGATTGTCCATCTCAATTCTTGTCAAGATCTTGTTTCATCATTCAACTCCAACATATGACTGACACTTCAGTTTTTTCTAGTATGAACATAGGGCACTGGATGATAAATAGTTCAACAGTAAAACCCCTGTTTTAGGATGATCTAAAGGACCAAATGACTGTCATGCATTTAAACTTTTCACAGTCACGCTTAAGATCCTTACAGTGCAATCCTAAGGATATTATCCCAGAAGTAAGCCAGATCTAATAGACCTATGTAAGTCTTAAGATTTCTCTCTTAAACATTTACAAAAATCAAGCTGACCTCTTTTAGTTACAACAAAGTTCTTGGGTAAAAGAAAATTGCTTTCCTGGTTTTCACAAAAAGACTGAGGTTTTCCCGCAGAAACAGTGCCTGCATTTGTATTCCTCCACCGCTTTCACTCGTTTCCACAGAGGTTTTTGCAGTCCCAAGAGCAAAAACACAGTTTGCTCCCTCTTGTGGCACAGCAAGGGAATTCCTGGAAATAGGGAAGCCTGATGCTGTGCTGCAAGAGAAGACAAACTGAGTTTTTGCTCCTGGGACTGCAAAAACATCTGTGGAAATGAACAAAAGCGGTGGAGGAATACAAGTGCAGGCTCAGGGAGAACCATCCCTGTGGAAAACGTGTGTTTCCACAGTGATTTCTCTGTTGCTGAGACTTAGTTAAAAACGATAGAACAGTATTTGCCCTGCTGAAAATCTGAATCCCAAATTCCAAGAAGCATCTTGTGCTTTTGTAATGACAGCTGATTCTGCCACTGTGGTCTGGTGTTTTAGTAAACAGAGTAACTCTTTCTTCATACAGCTTTACACTTCAGAGAAAAGACACCTCTTTCCAGTAAACCTTCAACTGAGAGAAAAACCTGGTAGATTTATCGACAGTTCACAGATGATGACAGGTTTGCTTTAAAACTATGTTTACCTTGTTCTTGTTTGGAGAGGATGTACTATTCTAAAAAGAGCTCAAACAATCTGGTGAGCTTGGGACCAGTTTTGTTTTTTTAAAAACTCTGCTAAGATCTTCTTTGTGCATTCTAGTAAAATCAGAGAAATGACAGGTTTCAACTCATACTGTTTGCACTCGCAAACATTGTGACAATCAGATGTTATTTGCAGTTTTCCCTTTAACTCATGCATACATCTTGTTCCTTCATATAAACCAATGTAAGAGGACACAAAAGGAGTTGCACTATTGTTTACAAGCCATGAATACTCAAGAACAGGATATACATACACCACCCATACACTCTTTCACTTGGCTACAACATGAGTAAAGGTAAAGGTTCCCTTGCTCGCAAGCCAGTCGAATCCGACTCTAGGGTTGCGGTGCTCATCTCCGTTTCAAAGCCGAAGAGCCAGCGCTGTCCGAAGACGTTTCCGTGGTCATGTGGCCGGCATGACTAAACACCAAGGTGCACGGAACGCTGTTACCTTCCCACCGAAGTGGTCCCTATTTATCTACTTGCAATTTCTTGCTTTCGAACTGCTAGGTTGGCAGAAGCTGGAACTAGAGACAGGAGCTCACCCTGTCTTGCGGCACCCGGGTCTTGAACCACTGAACTACTGACCTTCCACAGCCTGCAGTTCAGCGTCTTAACCACTTGAGCCACCGCAGTACATCCTGTTAAATATGCAAATATGCAGCATATAAGTGCAGACAAATGTATCCATATAGGCCATACAGGTATACACATACACAGTAATTGTATAACACATTGGCGAGATCTACCACTGGGTTCCTAGAGGATGGATTACTGAATGTGTTCTGTGATTCTGCCCTTGAAGACAACTTGGAAGACAACTTCAGCTAATGCAAAATGCAGCTACTTTTCTGCTTATTGGTGCAAGTAGATTTGAGCTCCTAACTCTAATGTTGAAGCAACTGTTCTGGCTTTCAGTTTTTCTGATCTGATCCAACCGGGCTCTTTTTATGTTCCTGTTTCTGGATTCAGGTCAAGGTGCTGGCTAATACCTTTCATGACCTGGGATCCTTGTATCTGAGGGATGACATCTCCCACGTGCATACTTATGTCAGCCCATCTCTTGACCATCCCTTATTCTTGAACAATATGGTTGGCCTTGGTGAGAGATGGAGCTTTTATATAGCTCCCCCCCCAATTGGGGAACCAGACCCTCACCATCTTTTTTTGATACACACTGCAGCAGTGCTTCATGGCCTCCAACTGGGCTTGGGTAAAGAATAAGCTCCAGACAGGGTGGTTGTTCACTTTCATGCAGATTTTTCAGGCAGAGGTTTTTAGCAGAGGCCACTCTACAGAATTCTAGAATGACCCCGTTATAGAGTATTAAATCTGTGGAATTCCATTTGTGTGTATGAAAAGTGTGGTCAAGTTGCAGCCGATTTATGGCAACTCCAGCAGGGGGGTTTCAAGGGAAATGAGAAGCAGAGGTGTGGTTTGCCATAGCCTCCCTCTGCAGAGTCTTCCTCAGTGGTCTCCCTTCCAACTACCAACCCTGCTTAGCTTTCCAAGATCTTATGAGACCGGGCTGTACCATGCTGCCTTCTCTCCTGTCCCACTCTTACACAAGTAAGATTGATTCTCAACTTTTTTAAAAAAAATTGTGGTTTTGATTTTTCTAAACCTATGGCTGTTTAGTAGAAAACTGTATCAAATCCATACACTCCAAAATACTACAGAAAACAATGTTAACCAAGATAAATAAATCTACGACAAAGGTCTCAGCAATTCTTCTCTAATTAGAGCCAGGAAGAGTCTCTTAAATTTCATTCTCAACTAACCCTTTACACACTTGCTTTTGGATTATGGAAAAGCAAGCAAGGCTCTAATCCTTCTTCACTTTGGAATAATTCTGTTCACTGTGATATCCATATTATACCTAAATTCTTGCTTGTTTCTGATTGTCCTCTTGGAAATCCCCAGGAATTCATTTTAAGGGTGTGATTTGTATTTCAGTTACATTTTTGTCCTGTCCTTCCCCCAAAGGTCCTCAGAGCAGCATACAATGTCCCCATTTTGTCCTTACAACAACCTTGTGAGGTAGGCTTGGCTGTGAGAGAGTGACTGGCCCAGCATCAACCAGTGAACATTGTGGCAAAATGGGGAGTTGAATCTGGGTTTCTCACATCCTAGTCTGATATTCTAGCCCTACAGCAGACTGGCTCCCCCCCCCCCCAAATCAAAAACATCAGTGGAAGAATGTTCCTATGGTATTTCATACAAGCTGGTCCAAGATCAAAGCAGCCAACACAAAACAGCGTATTGAAAAGCATAGCATATTGCTGAAGCTTCTCTTCTATAATAATGTGTCAAACCTGATGAAAGACTGAATACAATGGCTGACTTCAGTCTTGTGTGCTCTATTAAAAAAAAGAAATAAAAACCAGAAGATAGAATCCTGGTGGTCCACCAATGTGTTATTAATGTATGTATTTTAATATAAATACATATGCAGGTTTCCTTAACTGTTAACGCAGATGTGTTCAGTGATCCTGATATGATGTGTTGCTCAAGGTGACAAGAAGCACCTTCCTTGATCAGATGCAGGTCCAGCTGTTTTTATTGATTTATTTAGAACATTTTAACCTCATCAACACCAATAACATGAAAATACAGTATTATCAATCAAGGAAGCCACAAAGGCCCTCAGTTGGCAAAACCTGATCAAGGCTGTTAACAATAGGGTGTTTTGGAGGTCTTTAATCCATAGGGTTGCCATAAGTCAAAAGCAACTTGACAGCACTTAATACACACACACTTCTGAAAAAATCTGATTAGAATTGCTCCCTCTGTCATCATTTAAAAGACAGTATTGTTGGTGCTGTACAAATATGTCTGGTGTGGAATTTATTTTATTTAATTATTTATAAGTTCAATTTATATACTGCCCTTCCCTGAGTTCACAGGGCTCAGGGCAGTTGACAACAACAACAAAAATACAATGTAGACCAAAAATGAAACAGTCAAATTAAATTTTAGAACATTAAAAACATTAGATAGCACCAAAATGAATACAGCATGTATTACTGGCCCGTAGGTGGGAAAAGGCAAAGTAGGGGGGAGGGGAGGAGATACCAGATAAGATGGTATCCGTCGCTGTCCTCAACCAAAAGCCTGGTGGAACATCTCTGTCTTACATGCCCTATGGAACTACATACGGTACCAGAAGGCATGGATGTTATTTGGCAGAGAGTTCCACCAGGTTGGGGCTGCGGGGGCTCAAGTGGTTAAGACACTGAACTGCAGACTGGAAGGTCGGTAGTTCAGCAGTTCGAGACCCGAGGGCTGCATGACGGAGTGAGCGCCCGTCTCTGGTCCCAGCTCCTGCCAACCTAGCAGTTCAAAAGCAAGAAATTGCAAGTAGATAAATAGGTACCACTTTGGTGGGAAGGTTCCATGTGCCTCGGCATCTAGTCATGCCAGCCACATGACTACGGAAATGTCTTCGGACAGCGCTGGCTCTTTGGCTTGGAAACGGAGATTAGCACCGCATCCCTAGAGTTGGATTTGACTGGCTTTCAAGCAAGGGAAACCTTTACCTTTACCTCCACCAGGTAGGAGCTAGGGCTGAAAAAGTCCTGGCTCTCGTTGAGGACATCTGGACATCTTTAGGGCTAGGGATCACCAGTAGATTAGCAGAGAAAGAAGGGGTGATATCATATCAGAAACCCTTTCCCCAGTTATCATGTGCATAACATCTACCACTGCAGAAGGATCTTTACTGTGTGACTGAAGGCCAGCTGCAGCATCCATTGTGTGGCCAGCTCCTTTTCCTGCAGCAATCATTTTGGGACTGCGCCTGCCATGCTGTGTCAGAATTCCAAAGGCGCCTGCAGGCTGAAAAAGGTTGGGGACCTCTGGACTAGGTTTAGAATCACCAGTTCTCAAGTGATTAGGGTCATGGATCGAACTATTGTACACATGCATATTTTGTACTTTTCTGTGATGTGCCATGTTCTTTTCACTGGATACGTATATAGTAGGAAATGCCCTAACCCAGTCCTTCTCTAGCACCTGAAATATGTAATGATGGGGAGAACAGAGGGGTTTTCCCCCTTCATTGTACTTACTTACTTCTTACTGTTTGCACAACCGGAGTCGTAAACAGCAAAACCCTCATTGTACTGCAGAAACAATCAATGGGAATGACCAGCCAATGTTAAGTGCTGTTAAATCCCATTAGCTTTAGTGGAGTGGAACCTATCATACCACTCCATGGGCAAAGATTGAGGGCTCCCACCAGCCTAAAGAGCCCCCCTCCAGCTTACTTGGCTTTTCTGTTGGAGGAAGAGTCGCTTAAATTGGAGGAAAGCTCCTTGAAGGATGGCTGGATCAACCCCATTGAGAGAGAGTTGAGTTCAACTGAAATCAGGCCTCTGATGAAAAGGCTTGAAGTTGGCCAGAAAATGGCAGACTTGTTAGTCAATGTGCCCTGATTAACAGTTTTTACAACTAGAGTTGGTAAATATAAATGGTAAAGAACAAGGCGTGCCTTACTGACAGAGAATCATCTGCAAAGTTTTACCTTGCCAATTTTTTTAAAAAATTGTGTGTCTTAGCAGACCTGTAGACAGGGGTGATCTGGTATCTGTCAGAGACTAAGATTTTCAAAAAGCATTTGCCAAAAGTATTCCATGAAGGCTACTGAGAAATTCAGCACAAAGTTCAGGGCACACTCACTGCATAATTAGCCACTGGACACTGATTCTCCAGAAACGAGTACTGCTAAGGTCCCACTGAAATTAATAGACTTCATTTAGATACAGCTAATTAGTTTCATGAACTGGATATCCTTCCATGTTTAATGCTGCTTTATAAAATATATTCATTTGATCTCATTAGGGCTTTAGTGGGGCTAGCTTTCTCTCATTTAGATTCATGGAATTCACTAATACAAAATGTGTAATGGTGACTAGGTGAGGGCAGGTTTATGTTACCTTAATCTTGATAGTTCCTTCTGTTGAGCAGCTTCATCACAGTTGCTTCACAAACCATTTTGATAATGTGTAAAACATTCTGTCCGCATGGTTCAGCCATATGGCGTAATTATGCTTATGCCAGTAACATACCTCTTCGCACTGCAGGCATATCCATGCAATGTGAGCAAAGCTCCTGGGCCAGAGTGGCATGGGCACAAACTACATTGAAACAGCTTGGTGGCAGCAACCACACTGCTAGCATAATGTGTAGCTTGGCCCTCAGGACATGGACAGACATGATGAAGATAACACATCTCCACTGGACTGTAGAAGATAAATTGCATGTACAGCTGCTGTTTGTATCAGGGCTGTGTGGGAAGGAGGAGAGGGGCGTTAATCCTTCAAGCCCACTTAGTTTTGCTCATTGAAACTACGGTTGCCATTCTAGGCATAGCTCTTGGGGGGGGGTCATCTTTTCCCCTTTAAGGTCCTACCACCACGAAAGCCCAGTTTTGATTAGGAAAACCATGTGGGGCTGAAGATTTAATCTCTCCTCGTGTGGCCTCAGTCCAAAGCTGCATACCCTTGCAATTTACCTTTTATAGACTGGCAGAAAGAGATCCATGATCTTTGTCTCATCTTTTTTGTGTGTTCAGATAGTTTGAGAAAGGAATAGACACATTCACAGAGGGCAGGCCTACTCAGTAGCTATTAGCTATAATGCCTAATAATAATGCCGTATTCAGTGATCATGAGAAGCGGAGGCCAAACTGTAGGAAATAAGGGACTGCTGTTTCCAACACAGTGTGCTTCCAAACTTCCTACAGTCATTTGATGGGCCACTCTTTGAGGCAGAATCCTGAGCTAGATGAACCTTTGATTTGATCCAAGAGGGTGATTCTTAAGTTTCATTGTGTTAGAGGCCCTCGTTGGGTTAAAACCATATTCTATACTATGTTTACTCAATTGATTAATCCAGATCCCACCACCACCAGTTGGTTATTGATTTCTGTATTATTTAACTTTATAGTATGTATTGAAAATAATGTTCCCTGACATGCGCCATTGAGTCGTGTGATTTCTGTGTTTCAAGGGAAAAGGTGTGAGATCAAGAAGGTCAAATGAATCTGTCATAAAAAGGCAACAAGACTGCAAACAGGGACAGAGAGTAATAAGATTTTTTTTAAAAAATCCCAGGAAGCTTGACTGAAGGATTGTGAAATGTTTGCTTCATTGTAACTAGCATAGGCCCCGGTCACACGGAGCATTAGGTACGCTAGAGAGACGGAAGATAGGTGGATTATCCGGGCGCAATCTCACCGCCACATCTGGGAAGCGTAGAGCTCCCGTGGCTCACCCGAGGCTTCACTCCGAAGATGCTCTGTAAAAAACTAGTACCTCCGAGGTACTAGTTTCCGGAAACCGCGGGGCAAGGGCGGGCGTCAGATCATGTTTCTGGTGTTAGCTCGTGGCATCCGGCGCCCGCCCATGTCCCGTCGCGAAAAGTTTTTTTGTGTGTCAAGTCTCCACGGGTGTGCACAAGCACCCAACGGCACATGCGAACACTTGAGTTTAAAAAAAACAACACAACCCCCGCGGCGCCGCTTCTTTGCCACGCCGCAGGAGTGAGGTATGATCGGCACCTCCCCCCAACCACGGGACATCGGGCGGGACGTTTGATCCGGCTGCCGCGTGGTAGTTCGCTCCGGGGCAAACAGCCACGCCTCCCCCCGCGATATCCAGCCCGTGTGACCGGGGACATAGTTTGCCTTTTGAAAACAACTGAGTTGACTGTCTTGCTAACTGAATAGAGTCAGCTTTACAGCACTACCTGTGCAGTCCTAAGGAGAGTTGAAGTCAGTGGGTTTAGAAAGGAATAACTCTCCTTAGAATCTCACTATTAATCTCATCTGGATGTCCAGAGTATTTTTTTAAAATGTAGCATAAATTGAAAATTGAAGTGTTTTGATTTTTTTTTTTAAATGCTAAATTGTGTTACTGTGGGAACTAGTGTCCAGAGCTTCTGGGAAATCTTTAGGACCATAGTGAACACTCCATCGGTTTCTTGTATGTTCCAAGTCTTTTGTTCCTTCACAGGATTTTAAGTGTTTTATAGCCATGTGTCTATGTGTAAAAGTATATGTGAGGTTCTTGCATACCAAAGTTAAACAAGGTCATGCATGTCTGCATTTTAGATTTTTTTTTCCCCCTCCACAGTGGAAATTTATAATTGTGCAACTGGAAGTGCTGACTGTTCTCAGTGTCTTGGGAGAGAAGATCTGGGTCATCAATGCATTTGGAGTGAAAGTAGTGCTAGTTGCAGACTAAACACTGAATCCCTTCAGATACCAGGCGCGTGCCCTCCTCCTGAGGTTAGAAAGGTAAGGCCTCAGTGCAATGCAGAAAATTATACCCAACATCGTTTTGTCACAGCAAGCTTAAAGAGCTGGGAGGTTTGAATACAAAGAATAACTGTAACATCTGCACATGTGCAAATACAGCAAAGAAAGAAAAAAGAAATTTAGGTTGCAATTCGAGTTGCAAGAGACATTGCAGGAGCTGAGGATGGGAGAAAGAAAAGTGAAGTAGGCAGGCAAGCAGCTGAGGGAGGACGTCCCAGTGGGGGTGAGTGGCCAATGGGATGGGCAGGAAGGAAAACTGGAGGGGGGAAAGGAGCAAGAGGATGGGGGAGGGAGCAAATCTGTAACAAGGAAGGAGGACAAGCAGATCCAAGTGGAAACAGGGCAGGTGGAAGATTTTAGAGGAGAGCCCACGTTATTAAAGTTACATCTAGATAAGAAGTTTCTAAACATTGGTCTCAAATCTAGTCAAAATTAAGCATTTTTAAGTCCCACTGATTTCAGTGGCATAGAATTCTAGTATACAAGTAAATTAAGCCATGTTTTATAAGTGCATTTAAAAAATGCCTAAGAGCAGCAGAATTCCAACACGTTTCTCTCTTTTGCATAGGAAATTGTGTGTGCAGCACATACATATGATGAACACGTGTCCATCCATCAGTGCAAAGTACAGTTGGGACTTCCCACCACATGTAAAGATCAGTGTACCTTCATCACTATCATCACTACAGACAGCCTACACATGGAACACACACAATTTCCTACGCAGAAGTAATATCCACTTTCCCAGTTGTACTGTCATAAGTCTCACAGTGGAAGAGAAATGCAAAAACAAAAACAAAAAAGGCATGCTCCGCTCCACTCTGTAGAAGTCTACCCTCGAGCTCTCTGCCAAAACAACTAGTGGGTGGGGGGAACCCAGAAGAATTACAGTTCCAGCATGTCATGGGACTGGGATGCTATTTCCTTAGCAGATACTGTACATTCTGTCCAAATTCCCCATCTCAAAAAAACCCAAACAAGCTTTTCTTTTAGTGTCTACAGAGTTGCCTGGGGGGTGGGAGAGAACTGCAACTCTATTGGGACGAAGCACTGAGCTTAGTAAGATGACATTATCGGCCCTAACCAGCTTAGCGGAAGAAGGAGCCTCCGCTCTTGACCTTCTGCCCCTTGGCTGACGTCATATGATGTTGGCAGCAACTACAGTGAATGGCAAGCTGCAGTCTCTCTAAGTGCACTTTGAGGAAGGAAGGCAGTTGTTCCCATGCGGCTTTCACTGCCTTTGGATTCCACCCCCCCCTTCCTCTGATAGGTTGGTTGCAATAAAAAGGCCTTTTCTAAATGTAAGGCATTAAGCTAGACCAGATGCCCAATGAAATCAAAGTGGCTTTGTGGCTGACTGCAGGACTAATGGTGACAAAGAAAATCTCCCCTGAATATGCAGTAAAGTATCATTGCAGTCTCTAGCCATCATAACACTTAACCCCTGCACACACACACCCCAGTCCATTGCCGCAAGCAGCATTTAAATGAAGACTCTCCCAGTCTAGCTGGATGATATGTTGGGAGATCTCCCAAGTACTTTCAAAACAAAAATTGCAGCCACATGGGAAAAAATGTGTTTTCCCATCCCTGTATGGTTTTGCTAATTGAAATCAGTTTTCACCCTGCCCCCCACACACACACTTCCGTTCATTGGAAGAGGGAAAAAGACAGGCACCTATCGTTTGCCAGTCTTCTTCTTTGTAAGGCTAATAACAGCATGTAAGCGGGTGGTCTGTTTTATTGAAACTGTGGGGAGAAAGGAGATTAACCCCCTCCTGTGGCCACATAGCTTCCATCAAAATGGAATCCACATGCTTGTTACTTCTGATTAAAACAAACAACAACCTACCAATATCTGATCATGGATTTTACAGCATCTCATCCAGTTAGGCTCTTCTGTGACAATTAAGCAGCCTTCTCTCTCGGAACTAGAACTGGGCCAGAATACATAAATCCAAGGTACTAGCATTCAGCTTATGATTCAGCTTATCATTAGCAATATTAGTTGTGGTAACATTTAAAGACCCTAGTTAGAAGTTGATCTGCAGGCATTAATGGAGAAGTTGTCCCCAATACTACGTTTTCCCTAGTTTTATGTTGGTTAGATCTTGTTTCTGTCCCTTTTCCTTAAGTGTTGTGCCAAGTTGTAGATGGTTGAATTTTTTTCAGTGTTGTATGAAAACTGTATGGGAAGAAAGGTACCACAGAATTAAAAACTGCAATTAGCAATAAAATTGAAGCAAGGAATGCATCATAAGTGCATGGCTTGCTTATTGGACCGTCCTCTGTGGAAGGAACACTAGCAGGAAACAAATGTAAGAATCAAAGTGGTTTTTCCTCCCCTGTGTCTTTGTTTTCAGTCTTCCTCATCAAATTCTTTTTAACCTGTAGATTGAGCCCCTGAATGGACCCCTGGAAGGAGGAACCCTGGTCACAATACGAGGAAGAAACCTGGGCCGCAGGTTCAGTGATGTCGTTAATGCAGTCAGGATAGGAAATGTGAAATGTTCACCACTCCAGGACAGATATATAGTCTCTGAGGAGTGAGTAACTCAATCTGAATGATTTAAATGCATGCAAAGGGAAGGGAGTGCAATCATTTATTATTTCCTGTTTCAGCTGAGTCCTTTCCAGTGGTCCTTCTTAAGAGATTTGGAACATGACATCTATGTGTGGATGTCTGCATAGTTTTCATGGACATGCAACCTGAGAGTAAGACATCCAGTTATGTGCAAGTTTCCCAGTGCTTAATAGGAGCTGCTACTGTTTGCTTTGTGACCCAGGGAACCAACCTGAATGTGAAACGCAGCTGAAGACAGACTCTGCCAAGATACATGAACATTACTTTTGCATAGGAAATGGTCTGTCCTTCATACATAGACTGTCTCTAGTGACAAGAGTGGAGCCCATTAATGACTGTGAGCTAAAATAAACTGATTACTGGGATTCCCCTCACTCCAAGAAGTTTACTTCACAGCAATAGATTTTGTAACCATAACTTCAGACTGGAACATTAATATAATATTGGTAGTCTGAGGCTGTATTTTGAGTTATTTCTTTTTCAGAGGCTTCTGTCTGGGGTGGATTCTTCCTTCAAGTAAGCAAAGAAATGACAGGCACTTAACTGGCTTCTTAGTAAGCTGCCTGTACAAAGAGTTGATCTCTACGACATGCTAATAAGCTCTGTCTTGTCGTATTCAGATGCCCTCAGCAGCTCAGGGTGACAAGTGTAATCAGAACTTGCCCAGCTGCTGCCCACACACTAGCTATTTGGCAAACAATTGAGAAACTTCTTTACTGCCACTGGGCGCTGTCAAACATTTCATGAGCTTCACATTCACATTACTTTTTGTGAAGTCTTCTTCGTTATCGCAACCAGACAGGCTTCGGAGACCAGCTGAGGTGATTGTCTGAAGCCTGAGTTGCAGTGAAGTCATCCCCAAAAAGCCTAAGAGACCTTCAAAAGATAGCTTCATATGGGAAAACTGTGCGGGCATGCCATTAACGATGCTCTATCACTGAGCCCCTCCCCAATATCTGCAGTATACATAGGATTTATCGTTATCTAATGTTGCAGTTGTTTCACATAATATTTTTCATGCTACAGATTTTCAGTAAGTTAAACCTTGGCTTAAAAAGCATATCAGTCATTCCAAAAGAGAAAATATTTCGTGTAATTTTTTTTACAGGTCCACCCCAATTCCCCCCACATTTACTATTATAAAAATTTGGGGAGGGAATCTCTGTGGAAAAGTCTGTTTTTCCTCCCCTCCCAAAATGTTTCTTTTTTTACCTTTACGTTACTAGTAGCGGGTAATTAGTTTCCTTGTCATGGCTTTAGGGAAAGGCCACTGATAACACTTTGCAGCTAGTGGGTAGGATTCCATTCTTCAAGTAGCATATAGGCAGGGGGAGTGTCCAGTATCAGCAACATGAAATAAGATGTAATTGTAATCAGCTCCCATCTAATTTCTGTCTGATGCAACGGAACATGATGCTGCAACTCCAGTTAACTCCTATTTGTTTAACATCAAGTGTATAGAGAACAAAATATTGCTGCTCCTGGATTTATTCATGGAAGAGAAGATCTGAATTGTCTTACTGAAATTTGGCAGATGAAGGATGTGGTCCCATTTTTGGATCAGCTTGTTCTCGCTATTTATCAGCTTTGTATTAGGGGATAGAGAGGGGGTTGTCGTGCTATTCTTTTGGACTGTCTGGAGCATTGTCGTGATCTCTGAGGTTGGTCTCTGCAATGGCTTCAATCAATTTTTATCTGAAAGTACATGGGCATCCCAATCCTAAGAGCTGCTGTGGAGGTGGTGGCCAGACACTGACATAATAGCAGCACTTCCGGTTGGATCCTGATGGACATTCCACAGGGAGGAAAAAGAAGCACGTGTCCCTCCACAAGGTGCTGGCTACACAGTGAGCGTGCCAGGCTCCATGGCAATCCTACAAACACCCACCAGTTAGGTAGCGGGTCCCAATGACATTCCACTAAATGGCACACACATTCATAGCCAACTACTGCCTACTGTTGCAGCCACTACCCCTCCATGAAATTTTCAAAAAATGGATTCCAGACATTGTAGGCAAAAATCAGCACAGAGGTAGGCAGGCAGCTTTCCCTCTTTACCCTGATCCCAAGCTTTATCCCACTGCATTCAGTCCATCATGAACAGGGAATAGTTAGTGAAGAATTTTTACCTTGATTATAGATCTCTTCATAGAACCTTATTTCATGCTATGCACAAGGAATAAGATTATATTATATTATTTATTTATTTATTTTATTCATTGGATTTGGACCCCGCCATCCCTGCTGAGGCATGCTCAGGGCCCTTACATAAAATAGCAGCAAATAAAACAGCAATATAAATTCCACAATCAGCAATAAATTCTACTATTGGTGGGCTCAGGCTGGGGATAATATTGGCACAGGGCATATATGGTGAAGATGCAGCTCGTTACCTAAACGCCTGGCGGAAGAGCTCCATTTTCGTGGCCCTGCGGAACTATGGAAGGTCCTGCAAGGCCCTGATCTCTTCCAGGAGCTCATTCCATCAAGTTGGAGCTGCCACAGAGAAAGCCCTGGCTGATGCCAGCCTGGCGTTTTAGGGCCAAGGAGAGTCAGATGATTTTGAGACCCTGACCATGGTGCTCTCTGGGGAACGTGGGGAAAGGCGGTCCATCAGGTAGATAGGTCCCTGACCATAAAGGACTTTAAAGGTAAGCACCAGCACCTTGAAACAAATCTGGTCCGCTATAGGTAGCCAGTGCAGTGCTTTCAGCACAGGCTGGATGTGCCCCCGCATGGGGAGACGCATCAACAGCCTGGCCGCTGCATTCTGCACCAGCTGAAGCTTCCGGATTTGGGTCAAGGGCAGCCCCATGTAGAGAGTGTTACAGTAGTCTAATCTTGAGGTGACCATAGCATGGGTCACTGTCGCAAAGTCATTGCATTCGAGGAAGGGAACCAACTGCCTAATCAGCCGAAGATGATAAAAGGCTGACTTAGCAGTGGCTGCTACCTGGGTCTCTATTGTTAAAGAAGCATCCAGGAGCACTCCCAAACTCCTTACCTCTGATGCTGGCACCAATGGCACCCCATCAAAGGATGGGAGTGGGATCCCTAACCCCGGCCCACCCCGACTCAGGCACAGGACCTCTGTCTTCGTCAGATTCAATTTCAGTTGGCTCAGTCTAAGCCAGCAAACCATGGCCTGCAACACCAGGTCCAGATCTCCTGGGCTGGATTCTGACTGGCCGTCCAACAACAGATAGAGCTGGGTGTCATACTGGTGACAACCCAACCCATGCCTCCGGGCAATCTGGGCAAGGGGGCGCATAGAGATGTTGAATAGCATCAGGGAAAGTACCGCCCCTTCTGGCACTCCACAAACTAGCGGGTGCCTTTGGGACAGCTGTTCCCCTAGTCCCACCCTTTGTCCCTGACCTTGTAGGAATGAGAAGAGCCACTGGCAGACCCCTGAATCCCAGCGTCAGCAAGGCGGTGGATCTGTAGTTGATGGTTGACCGTGTTGAACGCCACCGACAGATCTAACAACAGCAACACTACCAATCCACCCCGATCCAGATGCCTCCAAAGGTCGTCTGTGAGGGAGACCAGTGCCGTCTCTGCCCCATGGCCTGTATGAATATTCAAATGAGTGTTTGGATTATGAACAAGGCATCTACATAAGGAATGGGGGGAGAGGATGATGAGGTCTGAACTGTGTGTAATAGAAGTGAGTCCTTTTTGCTTGTGCCATGCCTGGAAGTGTATGCTTCCTTGACAGCAGTGGGAACTTTTGCTCCCCAACCACTCAAAAATGTGGCAGTCCTATGTTTCTTTAATGTAGGGTGGGGGAAAAGTAACAGAAATCTGCTTCTAGTGCACAGGAGTTCTGCATGATACATGGGAATAGTATTCTTGTGGAAAGTTGTTATAAAATACTAGTCTGTGTGTCATCTGTAGAAGGCCTCTCATTCCTGTATTTGTAATTTGAATTTGTATATGGCTTCTCTGCTGGTAGTATTACAACTTTAATGTTTGACCCAGCCCATCAGATCCATCAGTGATTTTATAAAGAACTGCTTACAGACCAGACGCATTTATCTTCTGTCATTATGGTCTTCAATTCACATAGAATTGTATGCTGGACTGGAGAAGCCACAGAAGAATTTTCAGATGTGGTGACAGTTAATGTGAGCAGAGAAGGAAGATCCAGGGAGCGATTCTCCTATGTGGTAAGTCATTTCCAGCTCTTGCTTGAGTCTTGAAGCTTGAATTTGCTTCTGGGGGAAAAATCTCTGTTGTGTTCACTTACGCTACTTATATGTTGTGATGTGCAGAATGAGTTGGCCCTTAAGGGAATGTTTTTCAACTGTTTCTATTGAGTCCTTTTCTATTATAGATGAGAAGCATTTAAGAGGACTATTCAAACCTACATTTGAAACGGGCCTAAACCTATTTTCGAAATAGTATGCCATTCAAAAAATACATTGTTGTACCATTTTGAAAATAAGTAATTTATATACTTCATTTATATCCTTAGTTGGGACCAAAACAGCTTGCATTGTTCTCCTCTCCTCCATTTTATCCCCACAACATGATCTTCTGACCCACCACCTCGCTTGCATAGGAGTCAAGGGGGTAGTCTTGCAGTGGCTTACCTCATTTCTCCAAGATTGGGGACAGAGGGTAGCACTGGGAGAGAGGGTATCATCCAGGTACCCCTTAATACGTGGGGTCCCCCAAGGGGGAATCCTCTCCCCGATGTTATCTAACACCTACATGTGCCCGCTTGCCCAACTGCTGTGGAGGTTTGGGCTGGGGTGTCATCAGTACACTGATGATACCCAGCTTTATCTGCTGATGGGCAGCCAGCCAGATACCACCCCAGAAAATCTGGCATAGAAGTTGGAGGCTGTGGTGGGATGGTTAAAACAGAGTTGGCTGGGACTGGATCCTTCTAAGATGGGGGTTCTGTGGCTGGGCTAGGGAGACTTTGGGTTGGGGTGCCAATTCTCAGCCCTTGATAGTGTGCCCTTCAGACCAGCACTCCAGGAGTCTGGGTGTGATCCTGGATGCCTCCTTGACAATGGAGGCCCAGGTCACAAATGTTGCCAGACTGGCATTTTACTATCTGCACCAGGCTAGGCAACTGGCCCCCTACCTGTCTCGCCCTGACGCTGTAATCCATGCAACAGTCACCTCCTGATTGGATTACAGTAACTTGCTCTATGTAGGCCTACCCTTGAGGCTGACCCAGAAACAGCAACTGGTACAAAATGCAGCAGCATAGGTCCTTACAGGGACGCCCCGCACAGCGCATATCCATCCAGTGCTGCATGAGCTGCATTGATTTCTGGTAGAGTATCAGATCAGATTCAGGGTTATGGTGCCAACCTTTAAGGCCCTTAATGGTCAGGGTCCTACATACCTTCGGGACCACATCTCCTGGTATACCCCCAGAAGAACATTACACTCAAAAGACCAGAACTTATTGGTGGCCCCTGGCCTGAGAGACATCTGGCTGTCCTTGACCAGAGCCAAGGCCTTGTCTCCCCTGGCTCCAACCTGGTGGAACTCTGCCAAATAACATCTGCACCCTGTGCAAGGCAGAGCTGTTCCACCAGGCATTTGGTTGAGTGACGGTTCTTTCTTGGCACTCCCATTCCTCATTCCCCCCCCCCATTCCCCACAAGATAGCAATGTTGTTAGGATTTTAGTCCCATCTGTAGTTAATGTAGATGAGCAATGAATGACTATTTTTTTACTGTCTTATGTAAATCTTAATGTGTTTTATTGATGTTTATACTACTATGTTGTACATCACCCTGAGCCTTGTTCCACCAGGGAAGGCAGTTGACAAATTCAGTAAATAAAAATAATACAACAACCCTGTGAGATAGGTTACACTGACTAAAAGGTCAACCCAGCAATCCTCCATAGTAGAATGGGGATTAGGGATGTGCATTCGGCTTTCCCAAATAGAAAAAAATACCAAATAAATGCCTTATCGGTAATTTTTGGCATTATTAAAGCTGAATGCAAATTCAGGAAACTTTTCGGCTTCCGAATACAGTTTCCCGAATTTGTTCGGCTTTTTCAGCTTTTGGGTAGCTGAAAACTGGCTTCCCTCCAGGCTGCGGCTTCCCTAGTCAATTTCACTCCCCGCCAGTCAGCTGTGGGAGTGAAACTGACCAGGGAAAGTCTCCTCTCTACCGTCCCTCTTCCAGCTGCCTCAGGGCTGCTGGAGAAGCACAGGCAGAGATCCCAGCCATGTTTAAAAGCCTTTCTTTCCCTCTCCCAGTTTGGGGAGGGAAAGAAAGGCATCTAAATATGCCTGGGTTCCCTGCCTGCACTCCTCCAGGGGCCCCGCAGCTGCGGGCAACTGGAGAGGGGCAGGCAAGAAGCCCACGCATGCTTCCATGCCTGCCCTGTGCTGCCCTGTGCTTTCCCATGCCTGAAGAAGATCCAGCTGGGAACCCAGGCAGCCACAGGTTGGCTGGGAAAGCAAAGGCAGGCATGTACACATGCCCCCTTTCTCCCCTGGGCCTCTCCGCTTTTAAGCTTGCTTGCCAGCAACAGTGAGATCATTTTTTAAATGTTAGAAATAAACCAGTTTGGCTCAGCACTTCTCAGCTGCCATGACATCTGTGGGGCTGTTCCAAACATCATGGACCTAGCACATACCTTTGATTTGGTACTCTGTACAATGGCAGAATTAATTGTGTGGCAATGGAGAAATTTTTGACATTTTTTCCGAAGATTGTAGGCAATCTTCTAGATTCTTGCCCATTTAGACTAAAGGGACTTCCTGGATGGGTCCAGGGGGTTGCAAACACTTTATTAAAGAAGAGGGTAGCTCTGACTGCCTGACTAAGATAGTCATTAAACCCTTTCTGAAGAATTTGGGAGAGCCAGCTTGGTGTAGTGGTTAAGAGCACGGACTCTAATCTGGGAGAACCGGGTTTGATTCCCCACTCCTCCACATGCAGCTGCTAGTGTGACCTTGGGTCAGTCACAAGTTCTTTCAGAGCTGTTCTCTCAAGGGCAGTTCTCAAGAGAGCTATCTCAGCCCCACCTACCTCACAGGGTGTCTGTTGTGGGGAGGGGAAGAGAAAGGAGAATATAAACCACTCTGATACTCCTTCAGGTAGTGAAGAGCGGGGTATAACTCCAATCTATTATTATTATTATTATTATTATTATTATTATTATTATTATTATTATCATTATTATACATTGTCTGATGAGCAAAGGTCCTGTTGGGGCAAGGTGCTTGAGCCAATAGTTGTTGGTAACTCTAGACCTCCTATCTGAGACAGATTTTTCGGACCCATTGGCTTTAGGTCTGAGTTTGAAACTGTCTTGGTGGCCCTGATGGTTGACATTCACTGAGGGGAAAACAGGGGGTAGGAACTTTTTTGTGAGTTTTATGTTCCTTTTGTGAGTTTTATGTTCCTTTATTGTATACTCACATCTTGTCTAGGATATCGACCTCTTACAGTGATTTTTAATTAACTCTGCTTTTTGTTGTCACAGCTGCTATTGTTCCATTTTATAAGCCGCTATCTGGTATAATTGAATTTAAACAACATGCTGCTGCAATTATGTCAGTTATTTTAAACTGTTATTTTAACTATTTATTGTTGCACTTCTTTATTTTATGGAAACTTTTGTTAATTGTTACCCACATTAGGAGTCAATAAGCGGAGAGTTTTTAAAAATAAAATAAAAGTAAACAAAAGTTGACTTTTTCAATGAAAGTACATAGATTCAACTAGTATTATGAATGGTTCAGTGTATTTCTAAATTAACACATTCCGGTTCAACATATTCCAGTGAGGTAGTTCTTTTAAATCAAAATGATATTTCAAAAAAGAAATAAAGAAGTAATCTTGTGACACCTGTATGTTTAACTATAGCACGGGCAGAGCTTGATCAGATACATGGTGATACATGAAGTATATTTTCGATTTGTGGGTAGATATATTGCTACTTTTTGTGTTGGTTCAGTGTGTTTTTCTAAGATTTCTTTTTAGCACACATGATATCATTGTGTGACCATATATTGTAAGAAGTTAAAAGGTCAGGCTGTGAATAGTGATACTGCCTAAGAGAAGCCCTTCCTGTTGGTTGTGGAAATTTCATAGAAATACAAAATCATTCAGGTGTACATGATGCAATGGATCAAATAAGAACTCAGGAAAAAAACCAATTGCTGACAATTCTATTATGGTGGTGATAGAAAAGTTAAAGAGGATAAGTATGTTTTAAAGTTGTTAGTGGTACTGGAGGAAATTACATCTTCAGGAAACACCTGCGGTGCTTTTACCAAACAAAGCAGCAAAAATAAGTCACTGGCTTTAATTCTAATGATTGATTTAGCATTCACAGCCCTCTGCGCAGATTAGAAGACATTCCTAAGGGGAGAAGGCAAGTAAACGGATTTCCCATTCACCACATTAGGAAATTATAGCCTTGAACCATGAGGAAAGGAAGAGTAGAAATGTTTAAATAAATAAATGGATGTAGAAATAAATAAATAAATAAATGCTTATTCTGTTTTTATAACTCTCCATTTTCCCAGCAGTTATCAGAAAATTGAACAGATCCCTTCCACTGTTGCCGGCACAATCCTTCATGGCATTTTTAAATGGCCAAATTATTATCTGACATGGTGTCAGCATCCATGGGTCAGACCCATGGCCTCTGTAACATCTAGTTTTGCCCCAGGACACTGCCCATTAAACCATCATCTTTGATTCAGTGACACTCCAGAATTATTAACCATTGGATCTGAATCCAGGCTCTCTTCCCAGATTAGAAAATTGTTGCTCATTTGAATTGTTGCCCATTTTCCCTCTAATTTCTACTTTAAGGTAAATATATGAAAACAAAGTAGAATCAAATTCACGTAAGAAAATGCATCCTAATAGTAATCTTTGCATTAACTATTTGACACATTGGGCACATTCAGTGTTTACAACAAACTTTGTTTTCTCAAGACTGGCATCAACACAGCTTATTTGCCATACCCAGGCCCTGTTCATACAAGCCCATTTGGGCCGGGAGCGGGACGAATCGGGGGCGGAGCAAATGGGCGCGATCCCACCTCAACATCTGGGGAGCGTGCCGTCTCCGTCCCGGATCCGTCCCAAATGCCGATACCGCGCCGTAAAAAAGAACCACCTATCTAGGTGGTTGCATCCATTGGAGCGCCTCAAGCTGGGCTGTGGGATCGGCGGCACATCCTTGCGCCGCCGCATCCCGGCCCCCGGCCGTACTGCGCATGCTCGAGCATGCGCAGTTCGGCAGCCTCCCCCTCCCATCAGACTTTTCCTCCCGGCATCTGATCGTGCCGGGAGCGATGCGCCACGGTTCAGGGGATCCGTGGGATCCCGCCGCGGCGTCTCAAGTTTGGAGCGGCTCTGAGTAGCCGCGTTTCAGCTGTCCCGTGTGGCAGGGGGCCCAGTAGCTCTTTCCTTCCTCTCCTTGTAGGCAGAGCGTGATGAAAAAACTTCTTGGTTTAAGAAGCCGACAGTTGAAATCCAATAAGTCACTGGCTTCAATTCTTTCCCAGAATAGGAAACTTTTGGTCATACTTTGTCCACAAGGGAA